AAATGGAGTAGTTTGTTGTTGTCAGCTTCACCATGGTACCTACGTTCTCTTCCATTTAATTTACACTCGGTGATACAGAGCCCAACTTAAGCTCTGATACCACTTGTTGGGCTCAAATGTGGACAAACTTGGACGTGTAAATTAAAATTCTAACGTAAACTGGCGAGCAATAATTCAGATCTAATAAATAGATCTAGCAGCGCAGCGGTGTAACTTGTAAAGTGTGCCCTGAAATACTTCCCAGGAAAGAGAAGTGGATCACAACATATCACTTAAATACCAAGTCTTTCCTTAGCCAGAACCTTTCCAGTTACTAATACAAAAAAAAAACACACTTCTCTAGCAATTCAACAATCAGCCACGGCAGGATAACAGAAATAATTCTTTTCTGATGTGGAAGATCAGACTAAACTGCAACCACAGAGCATACTAAGAATTATTCTAACTGAATAAAATAAGCAGAGAAAAACCTCCAATGTGGAAGAAAAAACCACAGGACAAACTTCAAAAAATATTCCACTATATCTCGGGATATTTACAATATCCTTTCAACACTCTATCACACAAGAGATGTAAAATATAGTGTACCAAATGAGACCCACTCCTATTCAAATATTACAAATTTTGTAATACCAAGAAGAAATAGAGATGATACCCACCCCAGTATATTTCTCACACTTTTTAGGATTTACTCAACACTCTATTTTTCTCTCACTAGAATTCTATCAATGCTTGATAAACACTCTTGTTATGCACACACTCAATTTCATTCCTCACGACTATTTATAGCCAAATGAAGTTACTATTCACTTATTAAAATATTATATATTTGTTTAGGGAGTAAAAAAAAAAAGGGCACCGAAAATGTGCTGGACGTCACAAAAACTAGCCACCACAAACAAAACCCTCTTCCCCTAATTCGGCAAGCAAGAAACTAAAAAAGGGTACCAAATCCAAAACCAAGCAACCCCAAAAGCTACACAACCTTATTAGGTACATCTCTCTTAGACAACAATAACAACATAAAAGACTGCACAAACAAATTAATCCTAGCAAAACACATCACAGGGTGTGTTGTGGCCCTTGCGTTTAAAGAGGTTAGTGCGGGAAAGGTGTTTTAGGAAGGTGCGATAATCGGAGGAGACAGTGTAGCCACGGAGGAAATGGTCAGTAAAGAGTGGAGCGAGGAGGTGTGCTGCTGTCTGAGGGTGGAAGGCGAGAAATGCATTGGTGGTGACTTTTCCGTCTGGTGAGGAGAGTTGGAGGAAATTGAGATATAAAGTAGATGGACTTTTTTTAATAAATATTTAAAATATACTTAAAAGGACTTATTTACAAATATAAATTTTAAATAATAAAATATAATAAATTAATTAATGTGACGGTAACATGGGTTAGTTTTTCATCAGCAATTTAACATTTAATAGATGTAAAATTAATAATATTAAAGACTAAATCTTAAATTTTTTAATTTTTAGAAACTAAATTTTAATAAAATTTTTTATATAAACTTATCACAAAATAACTTATATTTACATAGATTAAAAATATAATTAAATCTTAAAAAAATAAAATAATGTTGTATGCAAAATAAATTTTTATGTATCATTTAATATGATAAATTATTACTGTTTTATTTAATTTTAACATCTTTTAATAATAATGACTATATTATTTGATAATTATTAATATAATAAATTAACATTTAAAATTTTAATTTTAGAAAATTAATTTGAACAATTGCATGTTTTACTAACTAAATTAAATATTTACTCATTTTTAAATTATAAATAATTTAAAATTTTAGTAAAATTATAGTTGTTTTACATGGTAATTATACTTCGTTTAACATAAAAGTAAGGTAACTTCACATTGGTACGAAGAACAGAAATATAAAATATAAAATAATTTTATATTATTAATTAATTATAATATGCTATGTTATTAAATATATATTTCATTTGTGTTAAATGTACATATAATAAAATATATTTCGTGTTCTATTTTTTCTTTTAAATTCTCAATATCTATTTTTATTTTTAAAATATTTTAATGATTAATTAATAAATAAAATATTTCAACTTACAATCATTTATATTAAATTTTTATAAATGAGTTTTTACAATAATCAGTTGTTTTCAGCCTTTAAATTAATTTTTATTTAATTATTTTTTAATAATAATAACCTTATAACTTTAATAACGAGAGTGAAATTTTTAGTTAAAGTTCTAAAGTTAATTTTATGAAAGTTTGAATTACTATTTATCTTTTCATTATCTAATAAAATTACAACAAAATGAAATATATGGAACAAATAAAAAAGAACACCAACATAAAAAATACTACGTTCGTAATTCTTTTAATTATCTTTAATACTGTTGTTGTATTTTACATTAATTTCAACCCAATTATACTATGTAACAATAATAAAAGATACACAATTATGTTTAAAAATTATGCACATAAAGATCAAATCAAAAACGTTTTTTTTTCTTATATATAAAAACTAAATTAAGAAATTATATTTTACACGCGCCAACGTTGCACAAGTTAAAAAAATAAAAAATGATTAAAAAATATAATATTTAATATTATTAATGTGTTAAAATGATATTGTTCTAGTGGCTAAAGCTGATCTGCATAATGCTGAGACTATTCAATCTAGTTTGTATAATTTTGAGTAGGCTTCTAGCCTATCTGTGAACAAAGACAAATCTTCCATTTATTTTTTCAAAAATTTTGATTCTGTTGTTAGAAATGATATAGCTACCATCCTTGGCATTAATAGCTCTTCTAATTTTGGTAAATACCTGGAGGTTCCTATAAGTAATTCTAAGCCTATCAGGAAAGATTTTGTTTTCATAATTGATAAAATTTAAAAAAAGATGTTCTCTTGGAAAATGAATTTTCTTTCTTTTGCTGGTAGAGTTACCCTTACTCAAGCTTACATTATGAACATTCTTAATTATTTTATGCAAACTATGCTTATACCTAAATCTGTTTGTAATGATATTAACTCAATTTGTAAGAAATTTATTTGTGGGTATCTGAATAATAGGAAATGTCATCTTATTTGTTGGGATAAGATTTGTAAACCCAAGAGTGAAGGGGGTTTAGGATTTAGAGATATAAATCTGGTTAATAAGTCCTTTATTATGAAGCTTTGCTGGAGATTGATTTCTTCCCCTAATGAGTTATGGGCTAAGGTCTTGCATGCAAAATACAAGTTTTCCTTTGGGAAAAACCCTATGATTAATTCTGGTCTTAATACTTCAGCTTTATGGAAGACTATAGCTTCTGTTTGGGAGTCTTTTTATGCGAGTCTGGGCTAGTATTTAGGGAATGGTTTAATTATTAGATTTTGGAAAGATAAATGGATTCATGATGCCTCTGTTCTATCCAGCTGTGTCACCAGTTCTATTCTTGAAGATCTCAATATCCCTGTTGCTCTTTTCACCAATCAGGGATTTTGGGACTAGGACAAGTTGAGGGATTTGCTTCCTAGGCTTGTTTGTTCTATTCTGTCCTCCATTAACCCCCCTAGAATAACTGATAATCAATATCGTTTCTTTTGGAATTTAACTAATTCTAGGTGTTTTTCAATAAAATCTACCTATGATTTAATTTATAATCTTGGTCAAGATATGCTTGTCTATAATAAGATTTTTAAGATGGTCTGGGCCTAGAAGGGCCCTCCTACGATTTCTTTCTTTTTATAGAAAATTGCCCATGGTAGGCTTCTAACTAATGAAGAAAGATTTTCCCGTAATATGACTTGTCTCTCCTTTGTGTCCTAGATGCATGGAGGCCCCTGAAACTATCATTCGTGTCCTTAGGGATTGTTAGGTAGCCAATAGTATTTGGAGTAATTTTCTCCCTCCTGATAAATGGGTGCAATTTTTCAGCCTAGGAATATCTAGTTAACTAGATTTTAATTTCTCCAAACACAACTTTCCTCTGCATCCAAATTGGAGCATTATCTTTGGCTTTGTTGTATGAAATTTGTGAAAATCTAGAAATAATTTTATTTTTCAGAATAAGAGTCTTAATGACCATGACCTTTCAAGAAAAAATTATCTTGATGTTGATTATTTTCTTTCTTGTTGCAGGTCTGGGCAGAAGCAGATTGTTGATGCTCGAGGAACCAATTTCTTGGTGAAGTGGCTGCCCCCCATTTCTAGGTTTTTTAAGCGCAATACAGATGGCTCCATGTCTCATGCTGTGGGTGCTAACTGTGGGGGATTAATCCGTGACTCTATTGGTGCGTTTATTGTGGGAAAAATCTTGCTCAACTTTGGGGTATCTTTTGGGACCTCCATTTGGTTCTTGAGAAAAACCTACTGGTTATTTGGGTAGAATGTGATTCTAAAACTGCCATATCTTTGATTGTAAATGTTTAGAATAGTAATTATCCCTTTTATTTTGTTATTAGTAAAATAAGAGAGTTGATTAAAAGAATTAAGTTTATTAAGTTTAATCATATGTTTAAAGAAACTAATCAAAGTGCTGATTGATTGGCTAAATTAGGCCACAATCTTGCAGTGTCTTGTTCTTGTTTTGATAAGGCTCCTCCGTTTTTTGAGCCTTTTTTACGGATGGATTTTTTGGGGATCTTGAAGTCTAAGCAAGTTGCTTAGTTTTGTTTTGTTGGGCTTCTGTCCCGTTTATTAGAAAAAAAAAATAAATTTATAATATCATATTATTTTAATAAAAGATTATAATATACCTCAAGTATGTATTAAAAAAATAAATTAAAAAAGTACAGTAGAAAGAAAATTTCAAACTTAAATATATTTGCTATTCTTTAAAATATGCATTTTTAATTTTTGTTTAAAATATCAATTTTATTCCATAATCATTATTAAGAAATGACATAAATAATTTATTGTTATCGCATGTTAGTTTTTTGATGCTCGATGTTATTTTTTTTGTAAAATAAGTAAGTTAAAAAAATATAATATATATATATATATATAATATTAAGCCAAAGTTTTATTATTCTTTACTAGATTGGTCGTTCGAAATAGGAGCTGGTGAGAAGCCATAACAACGCATAGGAAATCAATAAAGTTTGAGTTGAAAGGTAGAAGAAAGAAGGAATCAGATTAAGATGGCGTTGGGCTGGACAGGGCGAAGGAGCATGTCGACGGTGTCCAAAGCTGTTGCTGAAATTGTTGGGAGTGGCAATAGGAAGATCCGCAAATCTTCCAGTGAGCTCTGCAACTTCCTCGGGATTCCCCATCACTCTCGTTCCGAAATGGCCTTGATTCTCTCCAAGTTCATCAAACTCTACAATTTCAAGGTTCGCTTCTCTTTCCTTTATTTCGTTCTTCCACACCAACTGTTTGATCAATGTTCTCAGCCGCACACGTGCTCTTATTGTTATTATTGTTTAATTTGTTTATGTAGTAGCAACTTCGTTTAGGTTATCGTCGTTTTATCACGTTCCTGTCGTTTATATCTTGTTGGCGCTGTGCAGAGTCCTGGTATTAAAAAAGACAAGATTTGGGAGCAGAATTTGCAAACGTTGTTACGTGGTAGAAATAGTATTGGTTTTCCTGAGGTTGCTAAAATCCTCTCTCCGGAATTCAGTCAGGGTGCGATTAATGTGAAGGATAGTAATATGGATTCCTTCGCCGACAATGCGAAGGGAAAAGCCTCTCAAAAGAAAGGGAAATCTTCTAAGAAGTAAGACTTGAACATGGTTTTGCTGCTTGGAGGATCCCTGCTTGACATATTTGATACTTTTTTTTTTATGTGTTTGCTTTGTTCCAATGACAACTTGAGTTTGACTATTGTGTTGTTGTCCTTCAAAATAATATTATTCCTCTTTATATTACATTTTAGCATATTCATTACTTGATATAATATACTGGTTCTTATACTGGTTCATGGAGAGGCAAAAACTGTTCTTGTTCTTTTATTCGGTGTTATAGCTAATAAACAATTTAGTTATTATGCCCATCAGTATCAAGTTCATGAGTGGGAAAGGTCGTCTTGTCAATTTTGCAGTGCTTGCTTGCTTTCTTAAGCCACTCATTCATAACGTAGCATCTCATTTAATGAGGTTTTGACATGTGGTAGAACATTATCAAAAGATGTTGTGGAGGTTATGTTGCTGTATTTTTTAAGGTATGGATGCATAGTTTTTCCCTCTTCTTCTTCTATGACTGTTAGTTGTCAGTTCGTTTGTTTCCCATGTAAAATTTAATAAACCTAAACTCGAAGGAAAAATCGGTATATTACAAATATGTAATTTTATAGGTTTTAATGTATGAAGGAAACTCTCATATTAGTAGTGTCTTTAGTTCCTTTGTAAAATAGCATTCAGTTCTTAATGTTAGAATAAAACGAGGAGAAAAGAGAATAAAGTGAATGGTTTTTAATAAAATAAAGAAATATGCCAGGGATTGAGGTGAATATATACTTACAATGTCATAGACTATTCTAGGGATTTACTCTTAAGGAAATGTTTCCAGAAGATGATGCCCTAAACCTTCACCGACTGTGCTTTAGCCATTGAAGATTGATAGTATAATTTTTCTTATTTTATCCTATTTTTCAATGTTTGTTTAATTAATATGATATGACAATTTTATCTTATGAGTTTATCATATCTTTTACTCCTAGTGTAAATTTTATCCTACAAAGAAAATAGGATAACATAATGTATCTAATTTGTTATTTTAGTAAATATCAAATGTAAAATAAAATAAGCGTTTATCGTAATCTTATGTTTTCATATCCACCGAATAGGAGGTCTTTTCAAGACTCTGATCTCTTACTATGCAAATGCATCTAACAGACGAAAAGGTGCCCATGTTACCATACCACTGTCAAATTGCATCCTTTCGACGATTAACAATGTGAGGCATTGCTAGCTGACGGTGAGGTAGAGTCCATTAGCTAGACGCCCCCGTTATTGTCAATAATGTATACAATCTGCCCGACCATAGGCTTTGTTGTACTAAATGGCACCTTCTTTTTTCCAAACCTTGCTGAGTGTAAATTGGCTTCAAAAGGTCAATTCTAAAGGGAATACTGTGTAAAAAATCCACATACCAATTTTTTTTTTTTTGGGTCAAATAAATCCACATACCATATGTTATGAACCTTTATAATTAGTTGGAACGATTCAGTTGCAGCTGGGTGAAGCAAGCAGAGGAAGTATATGAATAAATGGAACAGATTATGTGTGTGTTTTTTTGGGGCGCCACAGTATATGAATAAATGCTATTTCGTATTTGGTATTATTACTATAAATAGTTCAAAACAGGTGGTGAGGTTAGTGTCATACAATGGAACAGTAGTACTGTGGCGCTGGCACTGTAAATCTATAAGAGCTCAATTGTCGAAGAAAGAATCTCAAATGACGGGTCTTTGGCCATGGCTTGTAGCTAAGCTTTCACCTTTATATGTAGTAAGATAAACGGCACAATGACTGAAAAATGAGTTTCTATTGTCCAACCTCTGACGTTGGGAAACGAGTAATTTACTGTGCCAATGGAGATGGTGGGTGGATATTTATAAAAGAGACTTTTGCAGCAAATGAACACTAAGGATTACTTTTATTTTAAAAATATTCGTTTTTTAAGATGTTATATTAATGGATGAAAATGCATAAGCCACAACATACTATGATCCAGCTTAACCTCCGGTTTGATTTAATACACTGAGGAAGTTTTTTTCAGGGAAAGGACAGTGTGTGTGTGTGTCTCTCTCTCTATATACACTTTTAATTGTTAATTAAAATTTATTAAAAAATACTGAAGTATCAGTAAAAATAATAAATTAAGATTAAATTTTACATGTTTAAATAATTAAGTTATGTGGTTTAACTAATTACAAGTCCTATCATATATCATCAAATTTATATATTTTTAGACTTAAAAAAATATTTTTTGTTCTCGTATTTTAGCGAAATTATTTTTTAGTTCCTTTGATTGTTTTTTTTATGTTATTTCTCTTTATTTTCAATTTGGTTCAATAAAATATTTTTAATGTCAATTTTTAGTTAGACTACGTAAGGTAAAATGACTTAAAATTTTTTTTTTAAAATCTGAGAATCCAAACAAAAATAATAATTTGGAAGAACCAAAATAAAAAATTCACTAAATATAAAAATTAAAGTATATTTAAGTTTTTTTTTATTTAGTGATATTCAAGTTTTAAAATTACTTTATTGTCTGGACTTTGAAGTATAATCTCACTAATTAAATGCTAAATGCTTTTCTTTATAATTTTTCAAACATTTGGGGATGATATAATTTAGAATAACTTCACAAATAATCAATATATTACTCAAAGTTTGAATTACTTTTGTTTATTTGAGAGGAGGAAAAAAAATACATTTTAGATTTAAAAGAAAAATAAAGAATTTTAAAGACATTTTTTTTAATTTTTCTTCATTTTATTTTAACTAAATTGAGGGTTAGATTTATAAATAAACAAGATGAAGACCTATTCTAATAAAAATAGTGTTAAAAAATATTTTTTTATTTATTAAAAATTTTAAAAATTATAAAATAATTTTTTTACGTATGTGAAATGATATATAATAAAAGAAATAATAAATACAAATTTTTTATTAAATTTTATCATACTTAATATTATCGATTCATTATATTCTTTTACATTTCGTAAATTTTAATATAAAATTATCATACATAGATTTTGATTAAGTGTTTTTAACATAATCTATTAATGATAAGATTTGTATAAATTTAATAAATTTTATTTTATAATAAAAATATGTTGCTAAAATTTCTCATTCCGATAATTATTAATTTTAAAAAATAATTGAAAGCAATATTGAGTTTTTTTATTTAATTAATACATATTTTAAAACAAATTCTCAAAATAAGATTTATTCTAAACTATTTTTTTGTCTGGGGCTTTTTTTTGTCAAATCATCACCAATATCGGCCATGCACCGAAGTTAGCATTTTCTTAATTATATTTTATTAGTCTATCGGCCACTTACGTACGATAATATTCTAAAATGTGACACGTGGAATTTTTAAAACGCCAGAAAAAATTGAAAAAAATAAAAATATTAAATACTAGAGGAATTGGACGAGTCAGAACACGTGTCAACAGAGCAGGGGTATCGACTAAGGAGAGACAATAGGCATCCAAAATGGATGGTCAGGGATGAATTACTCCACGTGTCGAGATCGTACGTATATCGCCTCTGACACGTCGACTGACCCATCGTCGCTTGCTGGACGGTACTAATTGGAATAATGACACGTGGAATATTGGAGCCGACGTCGCTCAGGCTTCTTCTTCTCTTCTCGCTCCATCATAATCTCCATTAACACCGGCCTCCAAGGTTTTTTATGCGAGTTTGTAAAATTCCTGTGTAAAAATTTCATTTCATTTGCATTATTCTCTGAAATATTGGAAGGTAAAAATTATTTTGTTGAATTGGTGATATTTTATTGAGTTCCATTTGAAAAATAATAACCGATTTCAATCTGTAATTTAGGATCTGCGGTGGACTAGAATAGTCATTGTTGCCGACATTCAAGGTTAGAATTCTATATCAAATGCAGTTTGACGTTTTTTTTTAAATTTTTTTATCAATTTTTAGTAATTACATATATGAAATGAAAAATCTGAATGTTTGTATATGTCAAAAATGTGCATTTGATTGGAATCGGGAAAAAAATGATTTTTCTTATTGTTTATTGTGATGAATAAATTATATATAGAAATTGATTGATATAAAAAAAAATAGATATATAAGTAGTGCTATTTTGTTATTAGTTGATATATGTAATATTATGTTTAGGGAAAAAAATTACAAACGTTATGATAGATAAATATATTAAAATATATAATTTTAGTTAAAGCATAAAATATTAAAATAGAAATACATAATTAGAAATATTTAGAAGATAATAAGATAATTATATTTAGAAATAAATATGTATTACGTAAAAAGTATGAAAAATTAGATTATTAGTGTTGATTAGTAAAAATAAATAATTAAAAAATGATATATTTTAAAAATGATTAAAAAATGGGGGTAAATTAAATTAAATATATTAGGTTGTAATAAAGTTAAATAAAAAAATGTTTTTGATTTAATATAAATAAAATAGGGGAAGTAAAATAAAAATAAAAATTTAAATAAAGTAATAATGTAGGTATTGCATAATTTTTTAAATTGTTGTAGAGTAAAATAGAATATAAAATGAAATTTTAATAAAACTAAAATTAATAAACTATTATTACAATGTATATAATAAGTATACCATGAAAAGTTGTTGTTCAAACTTTGATGCATAATAATTATTTAGAAAATTTTCATTAAAATTTAATATATAGATATATTAAAAATAATGAAATATAAATGGATGTAAATTAAATTAAATATATTAGGTTGTAATCAAGTCAAATAAAATCTGTTTTTTATTTAATATAAATTAAATACTGAAGTAAAATAAAAATAAAAATTTAAATAAAGTAATAATATAGGTATTGCATAATTTTTTAAATTGTTATAAAGTAAAATAGAATATAAAAAGAGACTTTAATAAAACTAAAATTAATAACAATATTTATTCTTATGGTATATAATAAGTATACCATGAAAAGTTTTTGTTAAAACTTTGATGCATAAATATTATTTTGAAATTTTCCATTAAAATTTAATATATAGCTATATTATAGAAATTTGTATTGATATTTTATTTGAGACATAAAAATACATAAAATAGGTGTGTTGCAACTGTTATATTGTTATTAATTTTTCTGATAACATATGGTTATATAATTGGCATTATATATTTTTATAATTTATATTTTGTTAAATTTAATTTAAAAATTATATTATTAGTAGTTTAACAAATTGTATAAATGTATAATTATTTTTAATGTGTTCATAATGATATAATAATGGTAATGTATATTTTTAAATTTTTAGATGACTTCATCTTCATCTGAAGGTATGATAATTAATCCTAGGCCAGAGGATCCATCTTTGTTGCGTTTTCAAAGTACACATGTCTCTGAACACATTTGGGATGGGCGAGAGCATCCGATGTTGAAGGTTAGGAAGTATCAATTCATACCAGCTGATATAGACAGTGTTCCAGGAGAGATTTTACCTCATTTGGAGATGGTTGGCTTTGCTGGAATTGCTCAGCATGCTAACTCTCCATTGGATAGACATTTGATCACTACATTAGTTGAAAGATGGAGGCCTGAGACTCATACATTTCACATGCCACTAGGAGAGTGCACAATAATGCTTGAGGATATAGCCATCCAAACAGGTCTTTGGGTTAATGGGCTTCCGGTTTTTACAGCTACCGGAGGTAATTGGCCACAGATGGTTGAGGATAGTCTAGGTATTAGACCACCACCGGAAGCTTTTGTGGGGAGTAGCTTGAAGCTTAGTTGGTTAGATCAACATTTTAGTCATGTTGCCATGCATAACCATGACGAGCTTCAGCTTACGAGATTTGCTAGAGCCTATATTCTTAGATTCATTGGAGGGTTTATGCTAGCAGATCACTCCAACAGCAGGGTCACAGTTCGTTACTTACCGTTGCTTCAGGATTTTTCCATCACAGGGCAGTATAGCTGGAGAGAAGCAGCTCTCAGTTTTTTGTACAGAGAGTTATGCATGACAACTAATATTGATAGACTTGCCATTGGAGGTTTGACTCCATTGCTGGTAATGTGGGCGTGGGATAGGTTCCCATGTTTGACTCCTCCAAATCCTCCACATTTACGACACGATCTTCCTTATGGTGCCAGGTATGCATAGTATATCATAAGTTCCGCATAATTTTTTTTTAAATATTAATACTTTGAGTATATTTATACTTTATAAATTTTGTTGTTGATTAGGTGGTTAGTAAATGGGGTGCCTAGAAGAGGGAAGAAAGATGTTGCATATTATAGATATAAACTTGATCGTCTTATGTGTGATGAGGTATGGCTTTTAATTTTAATTTATGCATCTGATGTTGACTAAGTTATTGTAACAATATTTAAAATTTTGTACTAATTCAATTTGCAGATCGTATGGCAGCCGTATAGTCAAGAGTTAATTTCTACACTGCCTCCAATTTGCTTAGAAGGGATGATCATTTGGAGGTCAGTGGTGCCCCTTATTTGCATACAGATTTGTGAGTGGCACCAATCGAATCGTGTCATGCGTCAGTTTGGGATGGTCTAACACATTCCTCGAGATTCTTATCAACCTGATGCATTACATGACATTACACTCAAAGGTAAGATTGGAGAGAATTGGAATGAAAAGTTCAGACATGTGTTAACGTTATGGGAGAGGCGTCTGGATTGGGTTTTCAGCAACGAGACACAGATTGGGTTATTGAGTTGTAATTCAGAGTACATGCGATGATATGCTCATCATACTAGACGTTGGATGACGAGAGATGCAGCTATTTTTTCATTAATGGTATGTATATCCACCTATATCCTTATTAATTTTTTTGCCTAAATTTTCTATACCAAGTATAATGTTATGTTTGTGTAGGGAGATGCACACGAGAGGGCATACTACTTGGCTACTGATGGCCAACAGTCATTCACTTTTGATGAGCTGCGCTCATTAGTCGAGACCATGTTGTCTTTACAGAGTGAACAAGCTCGGATCTTAGAACCGCCATCCAGAGTTGACCTACCAGTCCAAAGTGGCCACACAGAGGAGCCACATGTTGATCTTGGGCAGCCTGAGGGACGCAAAGAGGGAAGAGGTTTGCAGAGACGGAGGAGACCGATGCAGGCTGCCACATGGTCTATACCGCCTTTGCCAGTTAGACAAGATGGTGTGTATTTTGTCCCCTCATAGATGCCTTGCATTCCATCACAGTCTACACAGACTACAAACTTTCACTCATCACAACCTACCACACATTTTGCGTCTCCATTCAGTACTGCAGAAGACTATGTTCTCGACTTTCATCATTTTATGACCCCGCCTCCGTATGATCCATTACTATTCACATCCTCCACTTCAGGTCCAGTTATTGAGTCACTAGGGGAGCCTTCTATAGAATCTAAGGGGGATCGTGGCATTGATCTAAATGCCCAATTTGGGGCAGTTGCAGATACTACCCAGCATGACATGAGACATAACCCTCATAGGGAGGCTAAAGATCAACCTTGTCATTGTATCCTTACTCCACATGACGACCATGACCGGCAGGGTAGACAACAGTGATATTAGTGTTGTATTACTATGTTTTACTTCTCATGTATTATGACTAAACTTGCAACTTTATTAATACTCTACTATCCACTCTTTTGTATTTCTACCATACATAATGACATTGATTATTAGTATAGTAAACAATCTATTACATTTTCTACCAAATACTCTACTATCCACTCATGTAGGTTTAATACTAAAAAATATGTACTAAACGTGCAATTACAATAACAAAATACTAAACATAATACATCATTATAGTAAAGGCAACAATTTATAAAAAATGTCATGTAGGTTCATTATGCCTAGCACAATGACGTTGGTCGTGACCAGACTGTTTACACCTGCCACACTGTTGATGTGGTTGAGAGTCAATCCAATCCATTTCATTCCTAATAAGGGTAGATTTAGGTCGACCTATTTTCCTTGATCTTTGGTCGTCTGGTACTAACTTCCACTCATTCGATCTTAAGATATTATTGTCATTTCCAAGTGGCCACCACTCAGATGAGTATGCATTAACAACAGATTGCACAGAATAAACAGGATCAACCTATTGCCAATAATCTATACTCACAGATGCACAAGCAGCTATGATATGTGAGCATGGGTATCGATATGTCTGAAACTTTCCGCATACACAAAATCTATTTGATAAAATCACAGTCCATTTGTTACCACCACGTTGGGTGATAGGATTAAAAGCTTCTTCTACTTCAAACCTTATTCTTTGTATGTCATATCGTCGAACTTGATGTGAAGAAGCTTCCTACTAATTTTTCTCCATTTGCTGCATAAACTTACGACAATATCTACTACCTGCATTAAGCTCTGTTGTTGCTTTTTCACCACGCTTCACAAAATACTCTACTAAACGTGCATATGTACATTTCACCAATGCTGTAATTGACAAATTTTGTGCACCTTTTAAAATTTTATTCACAGCTTCAGATAAATTGGTAGTCATATGCCCATAATGTCTTCCTTTCTCATCATAAGCCAAAGTCCATTTTTCTTTGGATATGCAGTTAATCCATTTTCGAATGTCTTCTGATTCATTACAAAACTGTTCAAGTTTTTCTTCAAATCTTTGCTTGCATGTTGTATATCCTATAATAAGTTGCACAAAATAATTATGTATGCAAATAATAAATACGTAATGAGTTCATAATAAATGGACTTAATTTATTGACAACATTCGTACCTAATTTGATTAGCTCTTTCTTCAAGCTTGCATTCTTGAATTGCTGATTAAAATTGCTTGTTATGTGACGAATGCAATACACATGATATGCGTTCGGTGGTTGCCACCCAATATGTGGATTAGAAATGACACTTTTAATACTTTGATATCTATCAGAGATCAAACAAATACCTGCCTTTTCAGTGACATGAAGACGGATCAGAGCCAAAAACCATTCCCATGCTGACAAAGTCTCCCCTTCCACAATGGCAAAGGCAATTGGAAGGACACAATTATTTCCATCTTGTGCAGTAGCAATCAGTAAAGTTTGCCGGTACTTACCATACAAGAATGTACCATCTACTTGTATTAAAGGTTTGCAAAAGTTGAAAGCAGTGATGCACTGTTGGAATGACCAAAATAATCGATGAAACACTCTATATCTGTTATCCACTTGGTGATCCCTCACATAGTCATTGGTTTCAATTTTGTATACTGACCCAGATGAATTTAATTGCATGTACTCCAACCATCTTGGCAATGTGGCATACGATTCATCCCAATCACCAAAAACCTTGACTATAACTTTTTGTTTTGCCTTCCATGCTTTCTTGTAAGAAACTTGATAGCCAAATTGACCACTAATTCTTTCTTAGATTAATGTGATTGGCACCGATAGTTGTTCTTTTACCATACCTACAATAAACAATATAATTATGTATAATGTTCTTCAATAATATACAAAACCATCAAACTTATTATGATAAATTAGTGCAACTTACCAAGAACGCAACTGCAAATGAAGTTTGAATCCAATTTTTTGTAGTCAAGAGACATCATTGCATGAAAACACGTATGTGGTCCACCACACCTTGTGATTTTCCACTTGTCAAAATTCTTACCCAATGTTGCTTTAACCCTCCAAGGACATCCTCTACTATGATTTGGGCATTTCACATGAAATTTGGTCGGGTTTGATTCCACCACAATATAACTTTGATGTGTTTTCAATGCAAAGCTTTTAATAGCCATTTTAACATCTTCTTTGGACTCAAATTTAATGTTCTTCAATAATATACAAAACCATCAAACTTATTATGATAAATTAGTGCAACTTACCAAGAACGCAACTACAAATGAAGTTTGAATCCAATTTTTTGTAGTCAAGAGACATCATTGCATGAAAACACGTATGTGGTCTACCACACCTTGTGATTTTCCACTTGTCAAAATTCTTACCCAATGTTGCTTTAACCCTCCAAGGACATCCTCTACTATGATTTGGGCATTTCACATGAAATTTGGTCGGGTTTGATTTCACCACAATATAACTTTGATGTGTTTTCAATGCAAAGCTTTTAATAGCCATTTTAACATCTTCTTTAGACTCAAATTTTTGACCAACAACTAATGCATCACCCTCCCTCCATGCTTGATCAGGATCAACATCTATATTTTCCATTTCAAAATTCTTACCCAATGTTGCTTTAACCCTCCAAGGACATCCTCTACTATGATTTGGGCATTTCACATGAAATTTGGTCGGGTTTGATTTCACCACAATATAACTTTGATGTGTTTTCAATGCAAAGCTTTTAATAGCCATTTTAACATCTTCTTTAGACTCAAATTTTTGACCAACAACTAATGCATCACCCTCCCTCCATGCTTGATCAGGATCAACATCTATATTTTCCATTTCATCATCAGCATGTTCCCAGTTAATATAGGTATAATGTGGACTTGAATTCCAAAAAGGAGTTTCAACCAAGCTTGCATATTGCGTTATCATTCACCAATTTATTTTACATATATATTAAAACGTATTTTATAACATTTAAATGTACTTAATGCCTTGGACTCCTGCATTATCACTTATATTCAAGTTACTATGAGATCCACCTTCTAAATCAGATTCAGATGAAGTTTCTTCAGGATCCCCCCATTCAATTTCATTGTCATCATCATCCTCATTCTCATATTCACAATCTACACAACCATGACAGTATTGTTGTTAAGTAAACATAATTACAATGAAATTAAATATATATATATACTCATGAGAAAATATATAATTACTACGCCTGATACAAAAGGGAGTTCATCTGCCTCAGACATCATGTCACGTGAACATAATAAATTTAAGTCCACACCTTGTGATTGAATACAAAAACTTTCACCAGACGCAATATCTGCATATACTTCGATTGCACTTCGCTGAATTTGTTAAAGAAAAGCACTTAACATGCAATCAATATCTTCATTATCACATATATCCATAATTGTGTATTGTCTAACAATCGAGTCTACTAAAAATCGTGAAATCAATTTAGATATAACCTGACTAGTAGACAATTTCAGTTTTGCATGAATTTTTCTTTTCAATGTCTCTAAACTTATTCCACGTTCAATCTTAATCATTTTATTATTTCTTTCAAAGGTAACACCTTCATTACTTGAAAATATTCGACCATTCCAATATACAATTATCACAAAATCAGTCATCCTGCATCAACAAATTATACTACTCAATTAGAACATATATATTAATTTAAATGTTAATTGTAAATAACCCCATTCATATTCTAATTATAATTACAAAATTTCACACTTTTTTCTATATTTTAATAATTCACTTATACTTCATTTTATTGTATTAATCATCTTTTCAAATTTTTAAAACTTTCATATTTATATAATCTACATAATATATATTGACTTACTACCTATTTGTGCATCCTAATTTACATAATTTCAACACTTATTCTTTTCAAATCCTATTAAATATGAAATTAATATTTCTTAATTTAATTAAAAACTACAACAATAACTACATTTACAATAAATTTTTCATTACAAAATTTATACTTTACATGTGTACCACAATTTTTTTCTAATTTTTGTCCATAAATTAATTATAATAAAATATATAAATACATACTCTCCAACAAATCTACATAAATATGATATTAAATATATTTAAATCCTTCCATTATTTTACTAATTTTAATTAATAAATTAATTTAAATTTCATACTAAAATTTTAACACTATTAATACAAAAATTTTATACAATTAATACTAAAATTTACTAACCTTGAATATGCTTTTCCTGCTTCTTCCAACACGAATGGACAATATGTAAAATTGAAGTTATCGTTTGGTATATATAGTAAGTTAAATTGGATAATAACCATTATACAGCAACCAACCAATGGACGTGTCAGCACAACAATAGTATCACTCTAGTCAAACTGATACAGCTGACGTATATTGACCACCGACAACACTATCATACACTAAGCTCTGATACTACTGCTTTCTCGTCACGTGTCAAATCCTAAACTAGTATCGACCAAATTTGGCCGATACAGTGTGGACAAAAATTAATAAATTAATTGCTATCGTCCCTTCTTTTTCGATATTGAATTTTTGTTTTTTTCAATTTTTTTTGACGTTTTAAAAATTTTACGTGTCACATTTTAGAATAGTATCATATGTAAGTAGCTGATAGACTAATAAAATATAATAAAAAAATGCTATTATCGGTGCATGGTCAATATTGGTGATGATTTGGTAAAAAAAAATAAAAATTCCAGACAAGAAAATAATTTAAAATAAATTTTAAGAATTTGTTTTTAAATATGTATTAATTAAATTAAAAAACTACAATATTGAGAGGGAAAGCGGGAAACCGAGGGGGAGAGAAACTACAACACACGAGTGTAGATTCGAATTATATAGAACTGGCATTGGGTTCCAAGAAAATTCGAACACGTCAGCCTCTACGAAATCCCCTACGGTTCCTACCCAATGAAAAAGTGCCACGCCTTCCTAATTGCAAGAACTAATAACATTCGAAAAGTTCTGAATAAACATCTGGGAGCGAGAGAGGGAATCCCAAAAAAACCTTACTCTCTTTCTTTCTCTCTCTTGTTTTAGTTAATTGGTTCACTCTCACTCTTAGGGTTTCAAAATTTGAAAACGAAAAGGGTTTTCACGGAGCGATCATGCCAGCAACTAGGGTTTTCGGTGCTGTCGCCGGTAGAGCTTTCATGGAGGCGGCGGCGAAGAGCGCAGCGAAGAAAACTGCGGCGTCCCGCGTTGCCGCCGCAAAAACCACTGTGAAGAAGACATTGTCCAACCGAAGCATCAACTCCGGCATACAGAAGGTGGTTCCAGTGTCTTCCCAGCTCGGCAACTTCCTCGGCGCTTCTCAAGTTTCGCGAACCGACGCCGTTAAAAGAGTGTGGGAATACATCAAGCTGCAAAATCTTCAGGTCTTGTTTTCGTTTTCGCTCAATGCTGCTATTTGTGCTTGCGATCTTCGTTTTTTCAGCTGGTTTTTTCGATTTCTCGGTAGAAATTACTCTTTGCACGTAGATATTCATTTGGTGCTTGTTTAGGTCATCGTTTGCGGTAATGACTATGTGTGTGTTGCTTATTATTTTAGGTTTAACTCTTGGATATGTGTTTGTGCTTGTTAAGATGTGATTACTAGTATTGTTGCATCAACGAGGCTAAGCATTTGGTTTCATGCCTGTGATGATGAGCGTTATTTCTTTTTCATATAATTTTTGTAGTAACAAATGCAACGTGCTGACATTATTTTGTTGCTTTTAGTCTTTTTGCCTTAAGAGTTTACAGTTTACACTCGTGGCTGTGATGTGGTTTATGTTGAGTAAATCCCTCATTCTAGTTTAGTCCATTTACAAAATCTTCATTTTAATCATTGGCTTTGGAAAAAGTAATTTGTTTTAGTCATTATTCACTTGATTTTTCACTGTTGTTTTGTATCAAAAAAGATTAAATGACATTTTGTGAAGTTGGGCTAGAATTAGGATTTTTTAAATTTGATTGAGAGGTGGATACTTTACGCTTTATTTATTTATTAGCTGGTTTCTGAAGGTGTTCTGATTCTTCAGTTCAATTTTGAGCTGCTAATAGCAATCTCGATCATTGTTGCCTCTTTTCCTTCTTGTATGCTGGCATTTTTTCTCGTGTGTTTCCGTTTTAGTTTCTATAATCCGTTCCATAAATTTTTCTGTTGTAATTTTTTGTTTTTTCTGTCAATAAATCAGTGGAATCTTTCATGGAATTACTTATAGAAGTAGGATAATTTGTTTAGGATTATGAAACTTTTGTATTTTTGTTTACTGTTGTCTTTTTTCTGTGTTGGATGTTTTTACAATGGGATGACAGTGCTATTCTTTTGCAGAATCCTTCAAATAAGAAGGAGATATTTTGTGATGAAAAGCTGAAGACCATTTTTGATGGGAAAGATAAGGTTGGGTTCACAGAGATTGCTAGATTGCTGTCTACCCATTTTGCGAAATCTGGTTGATTTTCTGCATTGGTGGACTATTAATGATGGTAACTTGTTCTAGTACATTAAGTAGGGGTCTTTGTATTTTAAAGTACGTGGTTTGTGATCGGAAATTTGTGATATCAAACTTTGGGTGGGGAGGGGGTGGGTTTGAAAGTGGTGTTATTTTGTCTCACCGTCTGCTTTCATGTTGTTAGGGATGTTCACATTTCCCAGTCATGTGTGTTCATCGCCATAGACATTGGAATCTTATGAATTGCAATTCACATCGCATGATTCAATCTGATTTTGACTAAGTAATGATTTGTATCATGGATGAATAGCACAGATGATCTTGTGATACATGGTATGTGTATTGTATATGGAGGACCATTTTCTACTCGTATTGTTTATGATATTTAGAAGGATCAAATGGAAAATAAATAAGAGTTCATGTTATAATAAAAATATAATGAAAAATAAATAAAAATGAGGAACTAAATCAAAATGTTATAAACTTGAGGGAGAACAAATTTAATTAAATAAACTCTAATTAAATGATCTTAAACTTCTGAATAAATAATTATGATTTTTTAATGTGGTTACTAGACAACTAAACAAGGTGAAAAAAAATTCTTTGAATCAACCAATGTTTGAAGATGAGATAAAATTGGAGAAAAAATTGATATGAAAAGATTAAAAAATTAACTTAGCTTTAATTGAAAATAGACTAAATAAATAAAATAGAAGACTAAATTAAAATAAAAAATGAACTGAGATTTTGAGGATGAAAATTATAATATTACTTAAAGATATGCTTTTCTTATACCAGGAATGAAAGTTTAAACATGTTTGAATTTAGTGATAAGAGTCCCGAAATCTAGATGTGAAAACATGTCGGTGGTTAGTCTTTTTCAAAGTGTGAAAAAATCAAAATCTCGTACAAGCGAAAATAAAAGACTTCTTTATTAATATAGACAAAAATAAAGGTGTGCCAACTCTGTTACCCAAAGGTACTTTGAAAAACCATATAAATAATACAACAAATTCATGGTACACAAATTGTTGCTTGCTCTTTAGCACATTAAAAAAAACTTCTTAGACTGGTGAACACTGTCGATAACGACGATATTTACTATTTTGGCATTCCCCTTGAGAAGACTTGCACTACATGCTCTAAATTTCGATTTTTCTGACAGTTGCAATGAGCTATTCAATGCTTGTGGCTGCTCCTTCTTGACTTATGTTTCTCACGATGATCAGAATCATCGGACGAATACGAACGCTCATACCTACTTCTTTCACTTCTATGATATCCATCAGCACTATAATCCTTGGATGAATAACGCTGTTTCTTTCTATTCTGTTTATTCATATCACTCTCAGGATGCTCCGAACCCTTGGGCGTATGGTAGTGCTTTCGTTTGAACCTTCGATCATCCTTGTCGATTTCAGAATCTTCAGATGAACAAAAACGCTCACTGCTGCTCTTCTGACTTCCTTTGTAGCGGTCAAAACCATAATTTCCATTATGCTTTTGAGAATCACAATGGACTGTTGATGAGAGCTTATGGCTGCCTCTTTTAACATTGAGTTGTCTTCGATGATTAGTATCATCAGATGAATAAGAAAGCTCATCCCTGCTCTTGTGATTAGCATGATCGCCGGCGGGACCATAATACTCGTCTGAATAAGAATGTCTTTTTCTGCTATGTTTCCTCTTATGCTTTTGTATATTCCTTTTACTTCGATCATCCCCGTGACTGTCAGAATCTTCAGATGAATAATGCTTATAACTGCTCTTGTAACTTCTGTGGTACTCATCAGGACCAGACCCCTCAGGTGAAAAAGAATGCTTTCTTCTGCCATGATTACTCCTACAATGCTTAGGATGTTCAGAACCCTTAGGTGAAAAGGAACCCTTTCGCTTAGACCTACTTCTATCATTCCTGTAACTGTCAGAATCTTCTGACGAATAGGAACTCTTGTGTCTGCTGTTTCCATGACCTTGTTCAGGGACTGAAGTTTCTGATGAGCTTGACTTTCCACACTTCTTTTTGCTTATCTTAACCTTTTTTTTCATACCCTTCCTCTCTCCATCATCTGACGATTCTTCGCTTTCTGAATTTACTTGTTGCTGCCTTTTGCGCTTGCTCTTTTTGGACTTCTTCGGTTTCTTAGAGAAGTTGGTTAATAGCTCTGGGATATTATCCATACCAAGAAAACCTGAAAAATAGGTGCAACAGTTATGACAAACATCCAAGACTTTTAATGCATAAATTACATTAAAAATAAGAGCTGCTAGCAGATACCTCCATACTCATCAAATATGTCCTCAGCAACTATCTGCTGGTTGGGATCATCTGGCTTGAACCCTCCACGAGGAGGACTGATTCCTGGCTTCTGCTTGAGTTCCCATCTTAGGGGCTGCATCATTTGTCAAACAATATAATATATACCAATATTACACTATCATCTATTTAGATGAAAAATAGAGAGGAAGTACTAGCCATCTAAATTGCATTCAGACTACAATTTGCATGAGACAAATATAAGAGTGCCGTTCCCAACAGCAAATTGTGCGCAACAACAGGCATTGGTGGGAGGCATGTCAAAATCTGTGATTTCACAGTCTCTTTCCTTCACCTATCAGGGGCAGTTTTTCCTTTCCACAAGGATTTCACTCAAAAACTTTCTAGGCAAAATCTCTCAGCTAGAACATTTTCACTTTCAGCTTTCACAAAAAATAAAACTCTGAAAAGTGTGATATATAGGAAGCATTTTCCCTTCAATAGTATGAAAAGATACAATCAGAAACAGGTGGATACTAACAAGAAACATGTGGATACTAATATTCTTTTTTCTTCTACGCACACTAACCTTAAATTCTTAATTGTTTGCTTGAATTATCAATATTCAACAATTGTTTGCAAGTGAATTATGTGCCACAGATCTTAAACTAATTACTGATTGAGATAAAGTAAGATAAGGCATTCTTGCACATGAAATTCTCAGCACATATGAAGATCAGTTTGTGACGACAAGATGCAAGCCATCTCACTATGACATGAGTTATATTCTTTTTATAAAGAAGTTATAATAAGTATATTGCAATTTAGTGGCTTCAAAGTGTAATTGCGTTGAGGAACAATGCATTAATTATTTAATAGAATAAGTAAGGAAATAAAAGAATACCAAAAACATCTATGTTCAAAGTAGCAAATTTGTAAACAAAAAAATGAAAAACTTACAAAAAATGAAACCAATTCTACCAATGATCAGTACCAATCCACAATGTCAAAGACCAAGTTGTAAAATTTCCAAAACAATGGTTCAATTAAAAAAGTAACTGACCTCAGTAGGATCTGTGTGGGCAAGGATAGCATTCAAGGGATCATCTCTTTTCAATCTGCTTTCCTCACTAGGCATTATAGCATCCTTCAATGGACATTCACGATCACCACTTTGGTGACCATAGTTCCCGCATCTTAAACATTTTACATTTCGGACTTCAACTCCAAATGGTTTCACCCTGGCAGGAACTCCTGTTTCCAGCCTAAAAATTACTCAGTCACTAAAGATACAATTATATAGGTTTATAGCAGTTCATGTTGGTCTCAGGCAGCAATTAAACTTGGAGAATACGCTGCCATGTCAAAATGAATAGTATGAAATATGGTTTTCCTAAACTCAATAATAAAAAATAGGAATGTGCAGCAATCATGTATAGTTTTACTAGACCATTGATTACTAACAAACCAATCTAGGATGCACTTGACACAACAGATTTCAGTCACTTTCAACACCTGTATTGTGATTTGATATGTAGCTCACATTGGGAGGATGGAAGAATAGCTTCCTCTGGTGAATCTATCACCTCCAATAAGTTTAAACTTCAAACCTAGATGTTACTTTCATTAAAGGATGACATATACCAATTAAAAAAAAGCTAGTGCAAGTTTTCAAAATAGAAAAGAGCTGTATAATTTATGAGGTGACAGTAATTCACACCCTATTATCAGTAACTTAGGGAAAAATCTTTTGAAAAGACTAATTAATTAGTCTACTCTATCATTTCAAGTTTCAACAGTGAACAGGATATATAGAATCCATGATCTAAATTGACAAAATTTTCGCTCCATTTTGTCCTTATTTCAACTTCAACATGTTCTGAGCTACATTTAACAAATAGCCACCCAATTATCCAAGTGAGTCAATGATAAATAATTTAAGCTTCTCTCTGATATCCTTTTGTGGTATTTAACACAATACCAATAACACCAACAAAAGTAATCTCCAAGTGCTGTAAAAAATCTATGTTCGTAGACATAAACCCTAGTATAATCAATTCAGCTTCTGATTTGCAATACCAACCTATCCAACTAAATTGAAAAAAAACGCATCATTATCTTATTTCAAACACCACACCGTATTTGAGAGCATTCTATATATAAACAGGCTAAGCAACAACAGAAATAAACAAAACACAGCAAATAACACCAAGCAACATACCTCGGCGCATTTTTTAGAACTTCAAATTCTTCTTCAGTTGGCAGAGGACGCCCAAAAACATCCTTTGGCCTCGGTTTTTTCCTCTCTTCACTCAAATGCAACGAACTCTGCGGTCTAGAAAGTAAGCAACAACGAACACTTTGAATCACACAAGAACAAAAACTAGTCACAGAATAGTTCAATTATCATAAACAAAGCGAGAAAAGAAGATACATGGAAGAGGAAGGTCCATCATCAACATTTGCACGTTGAGGCTCCTTGCTCATATCTTCTCTTTTCTTTTCATCATTCATCTCCGCAGCTTTTGCACTTTCCGCATTGTAACCAGGAGGACGAACATACATGAAGCTAACCGCTTGCATCAACTCCACCTATGCACACGGCACCAAAACCCTAAAATCAAATCAATAGTCAGAAAGAGAAACGAAGAGAGAGAAAAGAGAGGATGCGAACCTTTTCCTTCTCCTTTTTGGAGATGAGCGCGGTCTGGCGAAAAAACTCTTGCTCCTGTGCGAACTGAAAATTCGAAGAGAAGAAGGTTATATAGAATCGGAATTGGAATTGGAATTTGAATTGAGAAAGTGAAGAGAAGAAGCGTTACCTCGCGAGCGACTTCATCGGCGCGGCGTTGGTGATTGGCGTGAGTCTGTTCGGCGATCCACTTGCGGCGTTGGTTAGGGTAAGAGAGAGGGTGCCATGGCTTCTGGTTGAGATAGGAGTGGCTCCAAGCGGTGCCAGATTTGGTCTTGTAGTCAACTTCTCCGTTTGATATTCTCTTGCTCAGCCTTATGCCTCCTCCTTCCTCCCCCTCCATCTCCGATTCACAGCGTCTTTTTCTGTTTCTTTCACACTGTTTATCTGTTCTTAAGAATATTAGAGGAATGTATCAAAGTCGCCTTGAAAATTATCGATTATCAATTAATTTAATTGATATTGGATCATATTCAGATATTAAAATAAATTGTATATATTTATAGAATTAAATTAGTCTGTGCCAATAATTTCATCAATTAATTTAAAAAATAGCTAACTTTTGTGAATAAGAATAAACAGTTGAAAATAATATTTTTATTTAACAAATGTTTTTTAAAATAATGAATTATTTGAAGGTCAGAAAACAATTGCTCACAAGGAAACAGACCTGGCTTTGATTATTCCTACCATTTTAAATTTTTTTTGGTGTGGCATTTAGTAAAATATATTATATGTTTCAAATTTGAATTGTGTTAAATATTTAAAAAAAAAAATATATTTTTAAATTTATTTAGGTTGAATCGACTACTTTTATTTTTGGTCAAGGCCTTACTTGATTAATGGTGCCGAACTGAGTTCTTTTATGTTTTTGGTCAAGACCATACTGAAGTTGTTTTTGGTCCAACCAAACTGAGTTAAATTCAAGTAAAAAAAACATGTTAGCTTAACTTGGGCTAGCTTACATGGACCGGCCCACAATGAACTGAACAAAGTTGTATAAAAACAAAGGAAAGTCATAAAATGCAATATATTAAATTTGACATATATTAATATTTTAATTATTCAAAAGGAAATGAAGAAGGTTAGTTTAAAAAAAATTAAAAATCTCGTTGACAAGAAGAATCACAACTTGTGGCCTGAAAAGACTATTTAAAAATGTTGTTTCCGTAATCTTTCAAAAGGAAAAATCTTTCATTGTTGATTAAGAAATATCATTAATAATAATAATATTATTATTATTAAAAAAATTATGGTCTATAAAAGAATTGGTTTACTAGCTTATATTAATTTTGACATGACTCAAAATTAAATTTGACCTAATGTAAATAAACATCTTATTATGTACTTGTAAGAAAAAAAAAAAACGTAAAAAAGGTTACCAGGCCATTAAAACCTTGTTTCAGAAACTGAATTAGTTCAACTGGGGTTATAGTTTAATTAATTTGACTGTTGGTTGTACTGTGATTGAACCCAATAATAAAAAACATTGACCATTTATTGTTGGATTGGTTAAGTGGCCATTCCAATATGACTTTTACAATGTTGCATAAAAACTGACCTCAATAAAACTTTGGCTCAAGATCGAGCTAAGTTGAATCTGACATGAACACCCCCAAAATCCGTTCACATAAATTTTCTTTGACCTGAAGCACCCACCTAATTGTTAGAATATATTTTCGTACCATTAATTTTTGTGAAAAAAAATAATAAGTTATTGATAAATACATGTTAGTGTCTAAATTGTAAGAGACTCTTTTGAGTTTGAGTAAAAGTATTTCTTGAGAAAATAAAGAGCAAAACAACTAAAATTCTTTTGTAAACTAAAATCAATTTATGCACTTCATATTACTCTGATTTCTCTGCATGCAATGATATCTTGTTCATATGGTGAATGCAATAGTTGAACCAAAAACAGAAGTATTATGAATACAATTTTAAGATTAAGAAGAACATGTTCACATTATTTGACAACCTTCTCGCTACAGACTTACTGTGAATACAATGCTAATTCTTAGTAGTTTTATGATTGAAAGCAAACATGAACCAAAAGACCCTAAGATTTCTTTGCATGTAGTTGATTTTTCTTGAGGGTGGTGAAATTGTTTTTGGGAGTAACTATTGAAACAGAGGAAACAAATAGAAGCGTGTAGTATGTTATTCGTCATTTTATTCTTAGGTTGAGTTTTCCAGACATACATGTGGTTAAGGTATTGCACTTTTTTGGAGCAGAATTGTCCTATATATCACTGTTCATTATGCTTTCAGTGTAATTTTGTTGTATTTTTTTCTATAGAAAAGATTCGAATTCAATGAATACAGACCATTTTCTTTATATTTGATACGTGCATGTATATTTTTATGGGGCCTATATCTAAGCTTTGTTCATGATATATTTCATAGGATACCTAAACACCCTTAGCACAAATGTCAATAATAATATCTTCAAACTTTCGGTATTGGTTATGGATATATGCAATGTGCTGCTAACATAGAAGCATCACTCAATTGACTTCTCAACCTCAGAATGAAGCCCTTCTAAGGTCCCACTCACATGAAAATTTTTTGAATTGAATGGTTTCCCATTGGATTTCAGCAATTTGGAAAGATTGCGAACCCTGGTGGTATCTGGTGGTGGTATCTGGTTCCTAAGCTAACTTCCGAATATGTATTGGTTACTTTTGACCAATTTCTCGTTTAGTATCATTATTAACTGAATGCTAGATCGCTAGTTAACATCTCTTGATGATATCATGATTCCTCCGTGGATATAAGTTAATTTTTCTTTGTTGTTGTAATTTCTTGAGATTTTCAGTTTGGTTACTACCACTTTGGATATGTGCAATGTGCTGTAAACATAGCATCATTCACATTGACTTCTCTATTTCAGAATGAAGTCTTTATGAGGTCCCACTCATATGTAAAATGTTGAATTGAATGGGTTCTTATTGGATTTCAGCAATTTGGAAAGATTGCTGAGCTTTGGTGGTATCTGGTTCCTGAGCCAAATTTTGAATATTTTGTTGGTTCTTGACCAATTTCTTGTTTAGTATCATGATTAACTGAATGCTAGTTAAACGACATCTCTTGATGATATAATGATTCTTCCGTGGATAAGTTACATTCCTCAATTTTTTTTATTCTTTCTAGGTAACTAGTAACAATGTTGGGAAATAAACAGCATATTCTTCATCCATGACTGCTTTTGGTTAAATTTTGTAGGCTGAGCTGAGGTCAGTTACATTGTACTGCATCTCTTGGACCTCATCTTCCAGAAAGTGTAAATTCTTTTGGTTGTTTGAAATTTGAAAGTTGGGTTTGTGCTATATACTGAGTCCACTGTGGATTATGTTAAAAAAATGGAATATTCCAAATGCACGTCATACCCATGTAATCTACAAAGTTATTGATTTTACTGGGATAGACATGATACACGAGGGCATGTTTGTTTTGTACACAAAATAAGAAAAGCATTAGGCCAAATAGGAAGAATGAGTTTTAGAAGTACCTTCACATAGGTACACAATAATGGAGATGAAAAAGTAAATTTGGTGTAACATTCTAACTAACAATGAAAATGAGCCTGATGCACCTTGGAATAGAACTTCCATTATATTTTCATGTGCCTTCTTTTTGGAGGTAGTGTGGGAGCAGGGAGAATTCTTACAGCTGTTCAATCACACGTGCTTGACAATTACACATAATGCCTGCATCAAGGGGTTTCATTGAACCGTGTGGTCAACTCATGGCTGCATAATGTGTAGGTGTGATTAGATTTAGAGCCTTTCACTTCTGATGCTTGAGTTAGGTAGAGACCAAATTGGACTTCAAAGGTATCAGATTTTACTGTTGTTTTTCAATTTCAACCGCGAGGTTTCTATATACATATACATATATACACATATATATAGATAATATTAGAATTTTAAGTGTAGGTCCGATCCAAGAGTATGAGAAGAGTGGACTTCAAGCTTGATTGACCTTTTTTTTTTTTTTCCTTTTTATCTAAAAAGACTTGGCAAATTTAAACTTATGAATTTATATATTCTCTTTAATTTGTCGCTAACACTTCACAATGGAACTTTTTATTATTTAACACACCTCTCCTCAAATTCAACTAGTTTTAGCTTAGTTATGACTTTCGTTTCAACTTTTTTTTAAACTTATATACCCTTAAATTTATTGTATCCCACCAATGTGAGACTTTTATCTAACACTTCCCTCAATTTTAATTAACTTTGGCCTAGTGGTGACTTGTATTCCAATGGACCCACACTCAAAATTTTTAATATTATCTAACACTTCTGGATGTAAGCATAGTGATAACATTTTGTATACTTCAAAATATTCATTTCCTTAACTTTGTTGATTTATTAAACATCATCGACAGCCTGACTTTGATTACTTAAGGCTTTATCATGAATGAAATAACTCTTAAGGTGCAGTACCTTTTTATTGTTTATGACTAAATACCTAACACTTGGTGCAAATGAGCAACGTCAAGGATGCTATCATTATGTTCTACGTTTGATGGAATCAATCTTAACTTTTGTCAAATAATCACCCTGCACTGCTTCTTTGCTTTTCCATTGCTCACCCAAATAAGCTGTATACTACGTATTTTATTTTTCTCCTCCAAATGAAGCTAATAATTGATTGACAAACCGAAAGAGAGATCTTACACCCTACAGTTTACCTGTTTGAGATGTCACTGTTTTTACGCAGTGTTATAGACAGTCCTTTTCTATGTCCAACTTCAAAGTGATTAGAGTGGATAATGCACTATGCTGAAGTAGAGTGTGACACGGATCTTTTAGGTGTCACTTTTTTATTTACATGAAGTATAAACCAGATTTCTTTGGTCTTCTTGGTACTCGCAAGTCACAACTCATTGCCATCCATCCACTTTCAATTACCAATTATTTTAGTCTTACTCTTCATTATGTGCATTAACTAGGCTTAATCTTCATTATCATTTGGTTTTCAATTTAGCCATCATTTTATACATCATTGGATGATGAATATCACTTGGTTAGTTTGGTTGGATCAATTTTAATGGTATGCTAATTCTTCTGAGCTTTCTAAAGCACCATACATTTTGAGCAAAAAATTCAACAAAACTCTGATAATTTTCACTCGAATAAAAAAATCTGTTATGTGCCCTAGTGCCTTTTGGAAAATTATTCTGATAAATGTTCTCTCTATTTGGAAATTCTTAAGGAAGAAATGGAACAATAAACTTGTGGTCTCAAAGGCCTGAAAATGATAAGCTAAAAATTCAACAAAACTCTGATAAATTTCACTTAAATTAGAAAAATCTCTTTGTTGTGTGTCACTAATGCCTTCTTGAAAAAATTATTCAGACAATTGTCCTCTTTAGTTGGAAATTCTTCTGGGAGAAATGAAACAACAAATTTGTGGTTTCCAA